CCCAACTCATCCGAAATTTTCGCATCTTTCTCCTGTCCCTTTGAGTCCCCTAAAGCTGTTGTGAAGGGATATACATAGGTTACTTTGTGGCAAAGAACTAAGCACACACATCTCTTTTTACCAAAAACTCTAGCACATCCCGCCCAAACCCTCATCAACTTCAGCCTGCAAATATTGACCTGGATTTCTTCCATTATAGTAGTGTCTTAGGGGAAAGTAAAAAGTTAGATGATTAAACAATGCACACTAGCTTTCTCAAAATTAATACACATATATAGAGGAATAAAAAGCCTTAATGTAGTTTTTGTTCCTATTATCTTCCTTCACTTAAGCTTTTGGTTTGATTATGATACACACTAATCAGAGGACTTACAATTAATTTGCAACAAATCTGTGCAAGTGCATTACAATTTTTTGGTTTAATTCAAGAAAATTACCATAAGGGGTATCTTCAACAACTTGAATTTTGGCATTTTTCTGTTTTCAAGATAGCTTCCTGCAATTCCTGTAAGAAAAGCAGAAAACAAACCTGTTAATTCAATCTGCAAAAATGAATTAACAAATAAATTAAATTCGATGGACAGTATATATACTAATAGGCATATGCCCTTTAAACCTGAACTGCGTTCCCTTTGGAATTCTCGGGAATCCTCCATGGAAAGGCAAATGACGACGATTTGGGTTTGTTGACACACAACCTGGATTTGTTGATGGACAAGGCCTAATTTTCCTGCAAGAAGAGACCATTAATTGACTGCATAAATAAAGCTATCATGAACTGTTAATAAACTCAGAGAAAACATAAGGAATGTTAATAATCATACCCATCTTCTAATCTACTTGCAAGTTCTTGGATGAGAAAATGGGGTGGTAGTAGGGAGAAGAGGAGACTGAGAGAGTTGATAGAAGGGATGGCTGACGAAGGTAATGGAGAAGTCAAGGTTACAGTGAGTGCTAAAGAAAGTAAGTTGGAGAAAAGAATTGGCTTTGTATTGGGATTTGTGGAAGAATGGAGGGATTTGATGGTGAAGGGGAGGGTGTGGTAATGGCGGTTCTTGAAGATCTGATGAGTGAGGGATCCAGTGGAGGGAAAGAGACCAATCAAACTCATGTTTGTTAATTTCGTTATCTCTCACCTTCTCTACTTGTTGTACTAACTCTCTAACGAAGGAATCCAAACGCCTCGTTTTGTTTCTTCTTGGAGATCGAAATATCGTATCAAAGAAGATATTATAGAGATCCCAATTCCAAATCATAACAAGTTTAATCGATTGATTGAATTGGAAGTTAAAGTTATATTGAAAATAAGTAAGAATCAAACAAAAAATGATAAGTTAATTTTGGATTTTCTCAATATCTATAAGCTACTAAATGAATTAAAATTGTATGAAATTATCACATCAAATTGATTGGATTTCAATGCTCATATTTAACTCAATAATACTATTCTTAAAATTGGATCAATGTTGATTCATTTATTTTTATTGATAGGAATAGGGCTGTGTAAAAAAAACCGATAACCGAATCGAGCCGAACTCGGATTTTCGGGTACCCGAAAACTTGGATCAGTTTCGGGTAGCTTTATAAGATACCCGAATTTTCATTTGGGTAGGTTATTTAATTTTAGGAAACCGGGTACCCAGTTTAAAAAAAAAAAAAAAATGTCAGACAAAACCCAAAAGCCCAAATCTGAAAATTTCAAATGCCCTAAAACTAAAACCCCACTCTCCACTGCTATAAACTTCCAATCTCAGTCTTCCATCTTCGTCAGTTCGTCTTTTCTAGTACTCAAGTCCTGCAGGACTGCACACAGTCGCACTCAAACTGTAGAAACTAAACATGAGTTGTTGCCAGTATTGATTGGCTGCAGTTGCAACTAAAACTGCAGAACTGAAAATGAGTTGTTTCCAGTTTGATTAGCTGAAGTTGCAATTAAAACTGCAGAACTGAAAATGATGTTGCCTAAGTAGCTGAGCAAGTTCTTGAGTAGTTGAGCAAGTTTTTTTTTAGGGTTTGTGGATCGGTTGACTGAAGGGATTAAAGGAGAATAGAGCTAATAGAAAAAGAAAGAGAGTTGAGAATTTGAGAGGGGATGTGGTTAAAGAAGTCAATGAATTTGAGAAGAACTGCTGGTTAGGAGTTACGACAACTGGAATATTCGGGTAAGAAAATCAGATACTGGTTTGTGGCCCGAATTTTCGAGTACCCGTAAAACCGGTTGGATTAGCGGGTATATTTTTGCAGGTACCGAATATTTGGGTACCCGGTTTTGGTCAAAATCGGAGTGGGTACCCGGTTTTGCACAGCCTAGATAGGAATATGAAATTAATTTTTGGAAGAGATCAGTGTGAATGTTATTGGATTTGTATTTTACAATAAGCAAAAGTAGCACCAATGTCGATATGTCCGAGTGGTTAAGGAGACAGACTGAAATCTGTTGGGCTTCGCCCGCGCAGGTTCGAACCCTGCTGTCGACGTTTTTGAATTTTTTTTCTTTTTCAATTTGCTTTTGGTCAATTTGCTTTTTGGCTCCAATCAGGTAAATATTTCAATTGCCAACCTAGGGTAGCTCAGAAAGATATAGATTTTCCCAGAAAACCAAAAAATGGAAGAAAACAGCGTGGTATCAAACTCGAAAAAAAACACAGGAACTTGCGAAGAAGGTCAGAGCATCTAGAAGAAACCATAGAAGCAGCTTTCCAGATCCTCGCTCTATGAACGACGGCTCTGCAACCCCACCTTATGGTCAACCACCAACACGGCAAACGGTGTCGTAAATGGCGATGCTACATTGATTCTAATCACACATGGACATGGGCGGCGTTGTTGGCAGTGGTAATGGTGCGCTTGACGAGGCTGCCATCGGTATAAAACCTCAGTGGCCGCACTTCGATCCGTGCTTTCTGCCATTCCTAATTCTCAAAGGTCAATTTCTCAAACCCAATGACTCATATTTATTATTCCTATAAGTTTGGTGTTTGAGCAGAAATTTGTCATTATTTTAATTTTTATTTCACTATTTGAAATTTAATTACTTCAAACGTTGTTTATATTGAAATGGTTATATAGTGTAAAAAAGATTCATCAATGTTATTAAGATAATTTACATATACAAATTTCTGGATGGTACACTGCAATTTATTAGGATTAGTAACTGAGATGATATTAGTGCGTGTTAGAGCTGTAGTATACTTGATTGAGATCAATATTGAGCAAATTGTAATAGTTGATTAATTTATAGGTGATTCGGTTTACATATAGGCAAAAGCATTTGAAATGGGTTCAACTGCCAGCGGTTCAGTGTCCCCAGGTGATGAAGTTGAAATTGAAAAGTGGAAGAGCAAGCCTCTATCCTAAGAAAGGTATTCTTTTAGTGGCTTTTATTGATGGTGTAGAATTTTATGGTCTTTTCACTTTCCATTTTCTGGAATGGTGTTAAACAAACAATATCAGTTGTGCTGAGCAGGGTTCTTGGAGTGGGTGATTTGAACTATTGCTTATAATAGGTGTTATAATAATGTTAAATTTTGTTGTTTCCTTTTCTTGTAGGAGCTTGCAACAAGAACACCCACCTTAAGCTTCTCATAGATCAGCTACGAGATCTTATTAATGACATATCCACAATGGCAAAGTCCATGTTCTGTCTAAGATGCTGAACTAAGTTTTTGTATTGTACAATGATGCCTGAAAGTAGAGGTTTTAGTCTAGATATCTGCAAAAATACTGCCCATCTTGATTGTATTTTCTATCTGAAAGTTAGATATTTTCTCCATAGATGTTCGTCAAAGAAAGTCAGAGATGGATGATTAGGCTTTCCGTGGTAAAATCATTTTTACTACGAAAAGAGAAATAGAGAATGTCAAGGCTTTTGTATATCTTGATTTCTTTAACATTATTAATGAACTGCACATATAAGCTTGTGATTTTTTAGTTGATGATGTGATGAAAATACCCAATGATTGACCTTTGAAGTACATTGTATGAATTTGATTTGTAATTATTTTTCGTATTTAGGAGTTTTGAGTTAGTTTGTGAATCAAGCAATTGCGTCTTCTTTTCACTTCGTTGCTCTCCTTTATTTAGATGATCGAAGGCACGTGCATACCAAGTTAAGGTGTATGTGCTCAAGTTACAGATGTAGTACGCCTTAACCTTTGATGCAAGGATGCATGCATGAACATATTATCTGGGATGTTCAGTGTGTCTATGGCTTATGATCACCTAAATGACAATAGTGCTCCACTTGCATCATGTAGACTCCACAGAGTATATTGATGATTCTGTGATTGTTTTTGTGGGACGTAACTATTAAATCATCTTGTCGAAACAGCTTCATTGCACTCACTTTGAAAAATTGGGTCTCTTTGAATCTAATGATCAACCGATAGATTGCTGAAATCTGATTGTTTATGCTCTGTGTTCCAGCTGCATATTAAATTTATATTGGTGCCCACACTGTTAGATTTTCACATTACCAGAAGTAGATACCACATAACAACCAATTTTGAAAATATTGTGGCTCAAATTGTTTTTTTTTTTTCTTTTCTTCTAGTTGCCTGTCTTTAGTCGTTTCTACTTAGTACGTTTCATTATATAAAACTCTACGGGGAGGCTACAATTCTGAAAGATCTTATTCATGTCAAACTAACATGAATGTAAGTCTACGGTGAAGGTGAACATCCCAGAAATTTAAAGGGGATATGGGTCTGCAATCAGAGTGCTATTTTGTTTACTTAAACTCGGATTTGTCATAATGGGATATCATTCATTAACAAGCCATTAATTTTAAGAAGTGGACACGTGTCAAGCAGCCAGAAACAGAGGAAAGTAAAGGCTTGACATATCTCACTCACGGGAGGATTGACCCCTCATTGTGTTGATTCTTGTTCGTACCAACCAAGCAAAAGCATATGAAAATAAGAATAGGACTCTCTACAGTTATGTGCTTGTGATCCATGGATAAGGATCTAAATGCCACACCAATTTGGGCACACAGGACAGGTTAAAACAAAAAATTCAATTGCAGAGGTTAATTATAGTAAGTTTCAATCTTCGAAGTTCAAAGATTTATATTTAGGCAGCACGCTCAAGCATAACAATATACACAACTGATTTTTACAGACTCAACCTGCGACGAAACACACCCATTTATAAACCTCTAAATAGACATAGACCATTGAAACTCTTACAGAGGAAAGGATATTGACAGAGCAATATGGTTGCATATGTGGACATTTAAAATGCCAACATCAAAAGCAACAATAGCCCTATCAGCAGTACTTCCCTTACTATTATTGCATTTTTCACATTCAAATATGACGAGAACAAAGCCATTCTAAACTTGTGATGAACCGATTCTAACATATAGGTAGGAAGTTTCTAGAGGATTAACTAATTGTGAATTGAGGATCTAGTAGTGAGTGAAGACCTCATATCTACAATGGCAGATTCATGTGCTCCCAATTTGATGGCCTCTTGCTTGCTCTTATAAACCGTGAAACAGCCCCTTAACATACTCATGAGCTTCTTTCACTGTCATCTTCTTACCCATTTCATTGGGGAAGCTGCTCAAGAATGATCCCCGTTGAGAACAGCTGCTATTGAACCATTCACCCTGAAATTCGGATAGGCCTCCATTTTCTTTTGCTTCAGTATTCTCAATGGTGCGACATCTGGCAAGGTCTCTGCAATAATATCAGAAGAAAACACACTGAATTTTCTGCCCACTAAAGTATTCATCAAGCTACAAAACTAATTGGGAATAGGAGGCAATGAGAAAATGTTTCCCTAAATTCTTGTGTCCAACTAATAACTGAATTCTCTTTTCCCATTCTAAGTTGGTCAGCTATAAGGTGACTATTGATTTTATTCCAAATTTCAACTTTTTTCAAGTTGTGTATTAACTGCAATCTTCAATTGAAAGGAATGATACCTGGGAATCTGTTCTGGGAGAGGTTAATTCACCAACAACCTCCTCGAATGTGCCAGCCCAAGCATCTCTGTGAGTCAAGAAGTTGGAGGACAGATTGAATATTTCTTTATGGTTGCCGGGATAGAGAGTGCTCAAACTCGGAATTTGGTGAGTAGGTCCTTTAGGGCCATTAATCACTACAGAAAACAGCAGAAGCACAAGTATATCAATACCCATAACAGTGAAAGCGAACAGATCTGGAAAATACCCAACAGTAAATACCTAATTCAAAATTTCAAATACAAGCCAAACCACAAAACTATCCATTTGTCATAATAAATTAGTTAGTTTTGCATGCAAAATAAAATACAGTAGATTATCCACTAAAGAGACCAAGACCGATCAAATTAATCTCAAAAGTCAACGTCCTTGACAGAACGGAACAACATGTGAGAAGACCAAGTAAAACCTGAAACATGTGCTAGCTTTGATCATACATCCGTGAATGGAGTCACTCTCTAACAAAATCTAAGTAAAATATTATAGTACGTATAATTCTAACTCTAATGATCATAAACTAAATAGAAAAATACAACATACGAAAAGTGAAGAAATTTTAGTTTTACCAGTTCCTTTTTTGATCCAAGGGGAGACCATAATGTTGGCACTCGAACGCCAAGCCTATCAAACTTGAAGAAAGAGGAGCAGGACCCGTGTTTCCATCTGGGCTGGGAACATTGACATAGGAGTCTCAACATGGTCAAAAAACCCACCATGCTCATCATAAGTAATGACCAAGAGGGTCTCATTCCATTGAGGACTTGCTCCAGTGTCTCATAAACCTCCTTTACAAGCTTTTGCCCATTAGCAACATCATGAGATGGGTGATCATCATTTGCAGGGTAGCCTTTAAGATCAAAATACCCTGGTTCAATTACAGTTAAGCTAGGCAATTTCCCCTTTTTTGATCTTCTAAACTTCGAATCATACTGATGGAACTTAAATATGTACTTCAATTTCCTTAAATTTCTATAAAATAAAGTAGAGGTATGCTCCGAAAGTAAATGCCGAAGTCTTTATGATTCTATGAAGTGAATCAAAAATGGTTTTGGGGTAACCTAGAGCAAGGAGCTTGACATGATAGTTTGAACATGAAGTACCAGAGTAAAAAAAGCCTATTGGGTTGAGTTGGACCAGGAATTGAAGAGAACCACCTATCAAAGACTGCAATTCTTGTACAGAGAAGACATAAACAGGAACTGACTCAGGCCTGAAGCCTTTCATAACAGTTCAGATAAGTTGGAGACATTGATAGTGCCTGCTCTACAAAACCAGTCATTGAAGGAATGTTTCAGAGCAAATACCTGTTGCTCACAGCCTCAAAAGAATGACCTGGATCGGATCCACAAATGAGCATCATCAGTGAAGCAAATGGTCTGCGTGCGTGAGTTATGGTTGATACAGAGTTGCATTCATCTCCAGTGACTCCCTTGATTTGGGGATGATGGTTTTTTTCATCCACCCCAACATGTGATCAAAAGATCTATTTTCCATCACTAAAATACAATAGTTGATGGGTGACGGTTTATTCTCGCGCGATATGCAAAAGTCTCGGCGTATACACACTTGAGAGAGTGAGAAACACCAAGAAAATGGCAGAAAATGAAGGTGGTGTGATTGAATTTAGAAGCTTCATATTTTTTTGTGAGAAAGATTGATAATTTGGCAAATGGGTATGCTCTTCTTAGCTTTTATCTTGGCTACACCTAGCTCTGGCTTATCAAGAGATATTCTTGATATTTGGATTGAGGAGATCTGAACGCAGTTATATAGGTTACAACAAATAAGAAATAAAGTTGATTGAAGATACGTGTACATTAATTGTCTGTACTTTTATATTTAATAATATTACCTCAAATTGAGAGGGAATATCACATTTTCAGTATATATGAGCGTATGTTGTGTTTGGTTACAGACCAAGAGAAAGAGAAGGGAAGCTTCTGGTTTTGGTGTTGAGTTTGATTCTTAAATTTATATGATAGTGCTTTTAAAAGTAAAGCAATAAAAAGTAAAGCAAATGGAAAGTGACAAGTCAGTTACTGTTAGTTTCAATCATGATTCACGGTTTTATTTTTTTTATTTCGAAAACTGGAAAACTATGTTGCGGGTGAGTCGGTGTAAACAGCCCCATCTATTTCGCAGCTCTGTTCTGTTAACTTGGGAAGTTTGTGTCCGGAATACTATACACCAACATTCCACCAGATATCTTTAGATTTTGTCAAAAGATCGTTTTAAAAGAAATAAAACAGTAGAACCAGTTACCAAATGAGAAGGATTCGAATAAAGCTAATTATGGTGTTTAAATATTTAATCAGACGTTGAATTACCGACTAAGAGGAGGAGCACCAATGACATTCTATTGCTTTCACTGTTTGGGTGTCTTGTTACTGAAAATACTGCATGGCAGTAATCATAGTGCTGGCAATTCTACAATATGCAGGTATCAGTATGCAAATGTGTATGCTCAGTTTGTTGACAACCGAACAGAACAAAATTGCAAATATCTAATACTTCTTACCATGTTTGCTAAAATAATTACTACACTTATCTTATTGGATAAGACTCAAAAGTTTTTTTTTTTTTAACAAAGCTGTTTAGAATAGTTTGTATATACCCAATAATTTTAGGGATCTATTAAACATTTTACAAGTCCAAAAGACTAAATAAGTCACAAATATTGTAATAAGTGACCTCAAGGTTTAAACTCAATTGCTCAAAGAACAAGTAAGTCACAATGTTTTATGGTAGGTAACCGCAAGATTTGAACCTAGGACCTCAACTAATTTTAAGGGTCTTAAACTTCTACAAGTTTAAGGATTAGGTAAACCACAGTTATTCTGATAAGTGGTTCTAAGGTTTGAATCAAAACAAACTTCCTTAGAATTCAAACCAACCCCGTAAAGAACTATAAATAAATTACTGCATTTAATCCCCGAAATTGAATCATTTTTTGAATGGTATCTAGAAATCGTATTGTTAATTAACAAGGTACTTTTGTAAATAATAAAGGTTTTAAGTGTAATCCCAGTGATTTGTCAAAAAGGGCTTGGTCTAAATTCGAAAAGAACAAGACGAGTCAAAAGCAAAATAAAAAAAATTTATGAACATAAAAAGAGAACGAGTTAAGAGTCTTAATATGAATCTAAAAGAGTTGAAAATGAGTAAAAAAATAATTAAGCATGAAAAATACCTAAACAATTGTATGTTCAGATTATAATTATTTTCATGCAGTCCTACTGTTAAGCCAAACAATAAATTTCTCAAAGTGCAAGATGTGGAAGACTTGTGTTCCCAAAGTTGAAATTTCGATAAAATACCAAAAGTACAGAATTCTTAACTGTTGTTAAATGGGATGAGAATTGAGAATGGTAGAGTTGATGGAGCACTATAAGAGACGTGATTCCGTTTCAGAGTGTGACAAAAATGAGGATACAATCAGTCAAAAGGACAATTAATTGAATTTAGGGACATAAATTATGGGTTGGTATATAATTTAATCAACTTCTGAGACGTGGCCCTGTGGGTGTTAGCATAGAAAGTCAAAAAAGAGAGCTAAAAAAATAGATCATGCACCGACAAATGAAGGTTTTGGCGTGGAAGGTTGAGAATCAAAGATTAAACCATTATGGACCAGGACCAGAAGAATTAGAATCGGCTGAGCTGGATATCTTTGTCGTTCATCTCTTCTCATTGCTTTATCAATAAAGAACCAAAAGCTGTCACTTCCTGTTTTTTTGAATTATATATTTTCATGCTTTTGTGGGCTGTGCTGTGAATGTGATTTAAGTTCCAATATCACGCAACCTTTTCCCTTCACAGCCGACGAGTTAAGAAATTGAAATAATTATGAAACAAGCGAAAATAATCAATGCTTGACTCCCAAGGACAAACGCAACAGTGCTTCACATTCTTATGATTCTCTCGTTAGATTCGACATTTGACTTCGACAAATTAGATTGATAGTTACGGGTGGGATTTCGCTACACTTACCATGTGTATAACAGAGAATCTACTATCTATTCTATTATATATACTGTAAATCTGATGCGCAAGTTATTTCGGTTAATAGATGCCACCACATTAGATCAAGGTTTGACGACTACAGCAAGGGAATTGATTTGAAATTAGGTAAAGCTTCAGAAAGATTTTACAGAACTGAAGGTGATGATGCAAGCATCCATTTCAAGGAAGAAAGAAAACACCCGAAAGTTGGAAAACCACCTCACGAAAATGGTCGTTTACAAGGCATGTGCATATGTTATATTATAAGTGATAACATCACCAGTAAAACAGTAGGGATGGCAACCGGGCTGCCATCAAGGATAATCAGTAAAAATTGCGTCAGCAGCTTAAATGACATGTATACATATAGCGTAGCACACTTGGACCATCATTTCTGTTGCAGGATGAGTGCAGTTACCACTGATTTACAAATAAAGTAATACTTTCCTCTGAATCTCTGCAGCATATGAAATT